CACAAAGGTAAGGACGACTTTAGCTTATTCCATATACATCAGATCTTGAACCCCCAACCAACCACGAACAATAAACCAGTGTTTTTCCCTATTAGAATAGGTTTTCGTACATAAGTTCGAGTCATCGAGTCATAACAGAGCTTCTGAGAAATGGCTTTCTCAACCATAAGCTAAGTTAATTGTCTTCTCACACCACTATAATTACTTAACGATATAGATGAAAGAAATACGAAAGGCTGTATATATTCTTAACTCTAGTACACTGCTCATTGGTCAACAATGCCTGAACAAGCATTTCTCTAAGGTTATGTTTTTAACCATACAAAAAAGCCCCATCCCTCAATTTATGCAAATTAACGCAAAAACGTAACCGAATTGCTATTTCAGAAAACCAAACAGGTAATCAGAGATGGAAATTGAAAACAAAAACCTTGACGTCGAGTAATGAGCAATTGTAAGAAGCTCCAAATTGTGAGACTATTCATAAGATTGCAACAATGTAGTGAAGTAAAACATGCAATATTTCGTACGTGTGATTCGCTTCTGACTACGATGTCGTTTGGAATGATTAATAAATCCAAACTAACCAACTCCTTCAGAGTATTCCGAAGTGTGTTGCACTCATTTGCAAGTGTAGTATTTTCCTCACGTAATCCATCTATCGTTCTTGCGTCAGCTGCTCGTGCTGACTTCTGCTCTACCACAGATGTTTCTTTATCCTTTAGCACACTGATATGAAGAATGTGAGGAAAATGGAATCATCATTGGCAGATAATGACATAAAGAACATTTACCGTGCTAGCTCTCGCTCAAGATGCTGTACTTTTTGATTAACAACAGTCAGTTCCTGCAGGTGATGTGCCACCAAAGAGTCATTCTGCAAAAAGGTACTGGTGACATCAAAGTTGTTCTATGAACGATAGTAGTCGAGAGGTCGTCACTAAAATCTGGGAAATTTCTTCGATGTCAGCTTAACTTTGGTAAATGTTATGCTCCAATAGTGCGGTAGAGCAAAAAGTGATTAACCTTCCTTCCACAATGGGATGAAGGGCAAGCTTAATCCTTCATACAAGACTATAAAGTTATGAGAAAGTAAGATGCGTATAGAAAAAATTCTTCTAGAAATTACAAACAGCGAATGAAAAATTTTGTTAGATCTTCCAGAATTATGCTCAGAATTTCTATTCTCACATTCTCATACTCCCTATTTAAGGATATCGCCAGCTGCGAGGGGTTACGTTAAAATGAGGATACCGTACTTTTCGAATGATATAACAATTGTCCTAATGAATTTTTTTAGAAGGTAAAGGTCCAAGAGTTTTTGTAAATAGCCAAAGTATTTTTCCTAATTAACAATTCAAAGAAAAGATTACGTGAGTTCTATGTGAAAATCAAACTATTCTCTATCTGCAGTCTATGAAAGGTGGGAGATATGTTGCTAGGAAGTGTGAAAACATCAGAGGATTTCGATAGGCATCATGAACATCGCAATATATACATTGCCATAAATCCTCACAAAGGCAAGTGAATCAGGTGGACTTTCCTTGATAATACATAGATTTTGTGGATGCGGATGCATAAGGATTTTGGATATGCCCTTGCCGTCGCATTTATTTTTCATGAAAGAAAGTTAAGAGCATACCAAAAAATAAATGCGTTCATCAAAGGCATGGGTCTTTCTAAAACGAAATCGAAAATGTTTGAAGTTACTTTAGTTGTCGGTTGGAATCTTTTGCACCCCTCACCCTCGAAATACGATCTGCTTCCATAACAACTTATAAGAGGGTTTTCTAAAAGGTGGAGCAGCTCAGT